ATTACAAATGAATTCCTGTAAAAATAAAAAAAATAATAAACTGTTTTTTGTTTTATCTTACCATTGATATACTACAAAATTTTACGTCAGGATAAAATACATATGTTTTTTTTTTTTTTTTTTTTTTTTTTTTTTTTTATTCAAAAAAGTGGGTGATGGTTTGTTCTTTAATGTTGTACTATTATTTTGTTTTACATGATCATATTTTGGCTATTTCTTGGAAACTGATTTATGATCTTTTTGCATTTATAATAAACAGCTTGAAATTGGATCAATAGGATATGAAAAGCTAGTAGTAAATTAATAGTAATTATGAAAGCATTTCAGCCAAAAAATATACATTTGAAACAAAGTTGGTATATAAGATTATTAAATATAGGACTTTCTTCAGTTTTGATAATATCTGTTTGAAAATCATGATTGTATGTTTTTCTAATGATATTTGGTATCACTTTTACATTATCATACATTAATATATTGTCTGTTACTAATCAGATCATTTCCATTGTTTTTGTTAGTTGTGCCATTGTAGTGAATTATTTGCAAATATTACTGATGGTAATGTGTGTTAAATTGAATCTTCTCTGCATATCATGCAAAGTCATTATAAAATGTGTACATTTGTAAATATATATAGGATTTCAGCTAATATACAGCTTCCTATTCCTCTTTTCTATCTTTGTTTATATACATATATGCAAACTATAAAAACGTCAGAAATTATGGTGATTTTCTAAGTGTAGCTTAGATGTGGTACAAGGTTGAAAGTATGGAACATCCAGTTGAGGATTGAATTCACTATTCAGTTGTAATTGGTTTAGTGAGACAAACTTGCTAATCATTGCACCATGTCAAATACCCTTTTCTAAGGGTAGCTTAGATGTGGCACAAAGCCAATAGTATGTAGCACCCAATGAGGATCAAACTCACTATTCAATTGTAATTGATCCAGCATGACAAGCTTGCTAACCATTACACTACATCAAGTAACTCCCCCCACAAAAAAATGCTAGAAATTTTGTCTAAATAAAAATATTTTAAAATATAGTTCATCCAAGTATATAATCTCTATGGATTTGCATGGAATAGACAAAAATTCATTAATTTTTTGTATATTAGTGATTGCTATAAATTTTTTAGTTAAAATACATTCTTCGGGGAGTTTCAGAATTGAAAATTACTTGGTTTTGAAATTTGTAATTGCAAACTAACATACATTTTGAAGTGTTCTAAGAAAAAAAAATGTGTTGTGTAAATGTTCTAATTTTGTATAAAATTGTTTATAAAAAAGAATCTTTGTTTATAGGACAAATAATACTGTTTTGATGTGTATTGTATGGCTTTATTATGCAAACTTGAATAAATATTGTTGGAGAAAAGATTGTACCATTTTTCTATAGGTGGCATTTGAACATGTTATTTCATTTCACATGTGGCAGAAATAAATTAAATGTGGAAATGATGAAGAATGAGATGCATTTTTGTCATTTGATCCTATTTTATTTCCAGAAAGGAAAAAAAATCACTACAAACAGCAAGAAATATGTGCCATTTATGAAGATGGTACCATAACTGAGAATGCTATTTGTAAGTAGTTTGAAAGTAGAAATTTTTATCTGGAATACAGAAAATGTTCTGGCAGGCTCATTTGTTTGGTGACCAAATGGAAACTGTTATTTAAAATAATCCTGGTCACGTGACAATGGACATCAGCGATACTCCACATATCTGATATGAGTGTTATGTATTTGAAAATATATGAATTGCTATGATGTTTAGGTGCTTCATGATTTAGTGGAAAAATTTCTGATTCTCTGTTCAGATGCAAGAAAAAGCACTTATTTTTGAAAAGAACGCTCACAGTGAAAATGAAGTTAACCACTCCATTCTAAATATTGTCTCTGAAATTCACTTTAAAATGCTACAAATATTTGTTATGATCCAATATGTTTCAAATTTTGTTTGGTTATTTAAATTTCTTTGTATTATTAATGTTTTTTGGTGATCCCTTCTCTGGCTTTCTTCAAGTGTACAAATGATAAACATTGTGGTAACAATATCAACATTATAAAAGGGTTCAACTGACAAAGCAGTACTTGGAATGACTTATAAGGCATTGTCTTGTGGTTTAACTCCTGCATATATTTTGAGAAAGTCTCACAGACATTTTAATAAGAATTAAATATGAATTATCACGGCAACTTAATAAATAAATAATAAAGAGTCTTCAATCTTATCCAAAAATTTAAGTTTCACTGTCTAAAATAAATTTCTCATAACTAAGAAAATTTAATATAATATTTAAGTGTTTTATCTTTGTTAAAAGAAAAAAGAATGAAAGTGGAACAATGCAATAAAAACATATACTTGATTTTTTTTTTTTTTTTTTTTTTTTAAGAGATATAAGCAATTTTAGCAAACTTTACAATAAATTTTAAAAAATGTTAGGATGTTGAAAGCTAAATAAAGTTGATATCCAACTTGATCATTTTACAAGGTATAGGATTCAACTGTTACAAAGCATTGAAATAAAAATATTAAAAATGATTAAAATCTTCATAAGGATGAGAACAACTGTAAATGTGTATTTTTTGAATGAGATTGATTTTTTTTTTTCCAGTTATTAGATTATTAGAAGATGAAATTTTACTAGTTTTATTTTAAAAATATTAAAACAAATGTGTTAAAAGTGGAAAAAAAACTACAGCTTAATCACACTAGATAAAAATGTGATAAAATACTCGTTTTTAAATTTCTTTTTTTTTATACACTTCTACTTATAAAATTTGCATCTTGTTTGGCTCCGAGGAGGAATAAATGAGAAAAAAGTTCAAAATATTTTAAATGCCATAATAATTTAACACAGAAAAATTCAATTATGCCAGAGAAAAATATGAGTAAAATAAAATTAAAAATACGATTTTTGATGGAAATTAAATTTTAGATTTTTTAATACAAATTTTTGTGTAATAATAAAAGATTTTAAAGCAGAATATTGTTCATTGAATTTGTGTGTGTGGTGCATTTTCAAAAATCCGTGCACTTTGTTTATCATAAAGACCTTGGATATTAGTTTGATCATTTTTGGTTTTAGATCTGATGTTAGGGAATGTCAGTAATGCATAAACAAATTTTTTTTTTTTTTTTTTTTTAATTATAGATTTATACTTAGTAGCAAATATGATTTCAGAATAATAATATATCCCATATGGTAAGCTGGATTTGGCTTGCAATTTGTAATCTGCTGACTCCTGATGTACCTCAGAGTTCTATAGTATTATTTTTTGACCTATTTGGAAGGAAATGCAGTATGAAGTTTTTTTTTTAACTAGTTTCCTGTTCTATTATCTTTTATTCTTTATTACTTTTTTATGAAAAGAAAAAAACTATTGCAAAAATGTTAACATTGACTGAATCTTATAAGTATCAATCCTCAACAAAAAAAAGTTTCTTATCAAACATATCTTATATGGTTGGAAAATATTCTAACAATTCCAAATAAATTTAAAAAACATTTTAATAATCAATGTTGTATATCATGGATTGTTAAATTGCTGTATAGCATTATTCTTTGTTTTGTGTGTGTAATCAGTTTGCAAGAAATAATTGTGTTGTACATTGGAAATAATTTATGTAGTAGTTTTAAGCATGGCATATTTTATAAGTAGATGAAGCACTAGATTTTAACAGTTTTTGAGTCTGACTTTTTTGGGGAATCTGTTCCATAGGAAAAAGCTGTTCCAGTGAAATACTGAGAGAATGTGGGTGCTTTGCTACAATGTAAGTGGCATGGTGGGTCGTAGTCGTGAAGGTTAGACCAAGATATGTAGTTTGTCTGAGCACTTTCCATGGAAGTAGCAGTAGAGCAGAAAGAGACTTGCCACATCCTGCCTGTGAGAGACAGGTTGGAAAATAATTCTTAAAGATTTATTGAAATGAGTTAGCCATAACAGTAAAGTTATTTTTATATTTTGTTTCAACAGAATACAGTAGAAAAAAATCTTATCTAAAAAATATTTTCCGGCTTTAAATAACCTGCAAAGTGTTGATAAGCTGTAAAAAAAAAAAAAATGAATCAGTCAATTAGTATAAATCCAAAGTTTTCTACCTTAACATCCTTATAAACCAATTCATAATATCATCCAATTGTCAAACATTTTAAATATAAATGAAATTTATTATTGGCAGATACAACCTCAACAACATAAGATATGAAGATGATATTATATAGATGGCAGACATAAAGAAAACTGTAGATACTTCTAGACCCTTAAGGTAGTAAAGGAAAGCCTGGAGGAAAGCCTAATCCTCAATTTGTGATTATATATTGTGATTAGCAATTACTAGCAAGAGGGAAAATCCAAGATGCAAACTATAAATTGGAGACATCAAAACAAAGCAAGTACAGAAATTTAACTACCTGGAGATTGTTATAACAGATGATAGAAAATGTGACACAGAAATCCAAAGACACATAGCAAAAGATGTCATCCAGAAACTAAACAAAATTTGAAGAAACAGGAAAAATTCATTGGAAACTAAAGACAAAGGTGCCCAACTGCTAGGTAATATCAACCTACCTATATATGGCAGTGAATGCTAAACAATTTCCTTACAAATGAAGAGGTGACTTCAGGTAACAGATGTAGTTCTATAGAATGCTTCATGGATGGAACATGTGACTAATGAAGTTTTAAGGAGAACGAGTCTGATATTTATACTTAGGTTCAGAAAGATTAATTCATTTTCCATGGCTTCAACCCTTTCCAGGTTATTTATTTATTTAAAGCCAGAAAATAGTTTTAGATTGTAAAATTTTTAAAAATTATTTTAGTTTTTATTGAAATGATTTAGTGATACAAGTCTTACTAATTAACCCATAGCTGGGGGGAAGAGGTGTATTGATACCTTTCCCAAGGGTATTTGTGTGTATGTGAATATAATGAACCAAATGAAATTGGAACTTTGCTCTATGATTAACAATTTTGAGCAATTATCCATTACAGCACCTGGTATACCCAAATAGTCACCTATCTAGGTACTGTTCAGGCTCGATGTTCCTTAACTTCAGTGATCATATGGGAACTGCTGTTTCAATGTGATATGGCCATAAGCCATATTAAATATAGCTAAGTTTGTGAAAGCTCTACTTTCATTGAGAGTCATGGTAGGATTGACCAATTTGCCTACATGCTTGAATTTTGAAACTGGTTGTTTTGTTTATATTTGCTTGGATATGTGTATAGATGTAGATGCATTGAAATAATCAGTTTGTAAGAGATAATTTAGCATTTTATACCTTGTTGATATTAGCTTCATTTTGAATAAAGGTGTTGATGCAAAGACATAATTTACATGGGTATCTATTCTAACTGACAGGATTGGTGAGATTCCATGTATTTTGCATGTATTCAGTAGACAAAGTTTATCAGTTGTATAGAGCAATAAATATTCAAGTAATTTCTTGAATGCATTATAATGAAGACACACCTGAAAAAAAATAATTAAAGCTAATATAGGTCTTTCTTAAAAATTCATGAAAAAGTAAAAATGTGTCAAGTATGGATATATAGAAGTCTTTTAACTCTGTTTCCAAATTTATCATGGAAGAAATTAAAATTTAAGATATCTATTTTCTAAAATGGGATATTTTTCATCTTTAGAACTAAGACTATTCACTCTGCTTCTAGAATAGTTATTACTGAAATTATTCAAAGTTATGATTTGATATGTATGTAGCTCATAACTGAAGTTAATAAGGATTAAGCTGAAAAGAATTGAAGGTTGGTAGTTTACATTATGCATATACAATGGATTCTGTTTAGGCAAAACACATTGGGATTACAAATTTTGATCCTTAATATAAGCACTCATTTCTTTTAAATGGATTTTCATAAAAAGGATTGAATATTGCAGAAGTTTGATTCTGTTTTTGTGCAGTTGGCTACAAGAACCAATATTCTATTTAATGTAATGATTACCACATAGTCAATATATAGTTTTAAATATTAGTAATTTGAAATGAATATAGTTAGTTACTCTAAACTGGTCTTGGACTTTCATCTGAAGCTAGCAATTCACATGATTCTGATTATATTTGACCATTACACAATAGCTTTAGTTGAATTTGTTTAATACTGCTTGTGATGTTTTAAGTACTACTAGTATATTGGTGATACAACTTATACTGTATTTTGCAGCTTATAAAAGGCTCCCATGCATTAGACCATCCCCAAACTTTGAAGGAAGAAATCGGAAAAAAAAATGTTTTCCTTGTACTTCATAGCCCTCCCCACTATCTCCCGTTTTACACCTTGAATAACATTTCAGCATGAAACCTGACTAATGACAACTTCATCACAGACCAAAAAGTACCAAATTTATGGTAATTATTTAGAATGTAATAGTTAGAAAAGAAGTTAACTCCTATTATCAACATTAGATTTAGAGAATTCATGCTGTTTTTTGGAGATATTTTATAGGAAAAAATGTGTCTTAAGCAAAATATAGTAAGTTTGATTTCATTTTTCTGCTCACAGTAATGAAAGGAAGTCGTTTTTTTTTATTTATTTTTTTTTTTATTTGTGTATATGTATGAAGAGAATATCCTTACTCAAATTGGGATATTTGGTCAGATTTTGAAGAGTGGATCTTGCCAATAACTTTTAACTACACTCATAGAATGTGTGTGTGTGTAATATTGAAGTTAATATTTCAACCTTTAAAGAAATATTCCTCAAACTTAGGATTGGATAGAAAGATTTATTTTTATATACACCAGTATATCATTTTAAAATATAATGATTACATTGCTAAGGGGTGCTATAGTGTTAGTTTAAAATAATATAACCACAACCCAGTACAATAGAAAAATACACTTTAATGCCGAAGTAAACAAATATAAATACAATCTCATCATTTAATTAAATCATTGAATAATGCAGTATTAATAAAATCATGACAAATGAATTTAGTTTCAAAATATAATAAAAATAAACTGAAATTATATTTGTTCTGGTTTGAATAATTTTCTCTTTTTCTGGATCTTAGCTTTAAAATGCTCAGAATATATAAAGTATCAACCTTAAATGTTGATTTTGCTTACATCTATTTTATACAGTTAAAAAATGTCTGGCATGCTGGTGGGCTAAAATATAAACTTATGTATTTGCATACATAAAAAGGATAACTGGTTGGATAGTTTTTATGCATATAAAATCAAAAACTTTACCACAATTGTCAGCAAGTAGAACCACTTCTATGACATTCATTCTGTATCAGTCATTACTTCAACTTTTTACTTACTGACTTGCATTTTTTTATCAACTCTTTAGAAATAGAAATTGTAACAGTAAAGATGGTAAAAAGTTTCTCATCAGTTGTTTATTACCTAAGGGATAGCTTTAAATTATTGCCTAATGAAAAAAAAAAATATAAAACCACTTCTATTCTGATAATTTTGTTAGATCATCTTCAGCAGAATCTGTCCACAGTTAAATCTCTCTTTTCAGTACTCAACTTGTTTTTATAAGGGTATTGATCAGCTGAAACTTGGGGATATTAACCATACTAAGGAAGAATATGGGTGTATATTTTATTTACCAACTTTAGTTCATATAGAAATACATAAATGAAATACCAACTGAAAGTGACTTTGACATTGAAATGTTGGTCAATGTGACTTTCAATTGGGAACAGTCATTTCCCAGTAATTGGTCAAATATAGGTTTGACTCATTGAATGTAATGTTTGAGTGGGTGTTATTGCTGAACAAGTATCACTACCACCTGTGTATAGTAGAGTAAATATTTCACAGTAGGTCAGGATATTGTAGATGGTAATGTCAGACGGTTAATAAATAAAATTATAATATTTTTTTTATTTCTCAGCAAATTTAAAAGTTAAAATAACTTATTTCCATATCACTTGGTCTTTAGACAACTTTATTTTTTTAAAGCTCTAAACAGACATTAATAAAAAAGCCTTTTTATTGGCTTGTGCAATTATTTTTTTAAGTTGAATTTTTAAAATTTCAAGAGATAATTTTTGAGATGAAGCATTTTCATTATTATATGCTTTGCTATTTGGATCAGCATGTTCTTGATTGTTACTCTCACAATATTTCAGCTGTCATATGCTCCAGTCATCTTCAGGTATTTGTTTTCATACTTAAGTTTTTTGAAATTTTGATCTGAAATCTTTATCAACCCATAGGGATAGAGTGTTCTGTTTCTGTTTTCCATGCTTAGTTAATATTTCATCTCAGTTAATAATACTTACCAGTCTAATTCAAATTCTGTTTCTTCCACTTAATCCAATGTATGTGACTTTTCAGCACTACCAAACCCATGAAGACACTGTGATAGAGGAGGAGAAAACAAAGTCTTACCTTAAAAAAAGAATGTGTTCTCTGTGCTCACCGTTGAAAAAGAAAATCAGTAAAAAGATTTGGTTGACTTTAGTAGGCCTTGGAATATGGTAATTGTTTGCATTTCCCTACCAGTCTTGACCAATCCCAATCTTTCTTACCCCAATAAAAGAATGCTATTTTGGATGACTGGGAGTCTGACTTCTTTGTGAGTGAAGAAGGTAGTTGCTAATTTTGAATACAGATTTTTCACCCGACCTTTGAGTTATGCCCCTGGCATTTTTGACTTTGGATTTGTGAAACTCATTTATGACCCTTGAAATTGTGACCATGGATTTTTGATTTTAGAACTGAACATCTCTGTTGCTATTTTTTCTCACAGACAGACTTGAAGAGGCTGGAAAATACTCTGGTCAAAATGTTGTAAGTATAACAATCAAGACATGTGTGCTGCTTTAAATAGCAAAGCATATAATAATAATTTAAACAGAAATGACTATAGCTCTCATGTGCAATGCTTATTATCCTATTTGGTACTGTTTTCAAAGATTACTTTTTTGTTCAGATTCACACAAAAACATAATTTTTCTTAATTTTTTTATTTTTAATAAATTTAATGAAACCTGTTAGCACAGTATATAGTGGTTATATTTTGTTTTGTCTTGTGGTCTGGCACCTTGTACTAGCAGTGTGAAAAACCAATTAGGGATCATCATTTATTATTGATTTTTGGTAAGTTATCCAAATGAAAATAGAAATGCGAACTTATATTACTTGTTTCTCATTCATTTGAGTATGAATATACCAACAAAAAGAAATCAAAATGGTCATATTTATTACATTTCTTGTGTAAGGTATAGTTACAGGTACACCATTGATATTTTTTTGTTTCCTAACACTTTCGGTTCTAAAGCCTTTTGATGAACCAACTAATATCAAATGAATACTAACTCAATCATACATCTGATTTACCTTTCCAAATATTGATTCTGCTCTAGATTCTTAGTATCTTGTGTTTTTCTGATAGAAATCTGTTTCATAAGATAATACTTCATCTGTTTGTTTCTTTATATATATATATATATATACACACACACACACACACACACACACACATATATATATATATATATATATATATATATATATATATATATATATATATATATATAAAAGAAACAAACAAGAATTTGGACTCATTAAACTTTGACATAAAATTGCTTTTCTGAAGCACTCTAAGAATTTTACATTTTCTCAGTACTGCTATGAATAATCTTTGATGAATCAATGCTCTAATTTTGACTATTTTATTCAGGCAGATAATATAGCCTAATTTTTTAACTGTTCAACTTTCTGGATCAGTAGTGAATGGATTATATCATTACTAACATATAAATTATCTAAATACTTAAAACTATTTGTAATCATAATCAACTTGCAAAGAAATAGACTAGGTCATTATCTAAGTTTTAATCTAAATGCACTTATAAAAAATGTTTTTGCAATACTTTCTTTATTTTAAAAAACAAAAAAATAAGCATCTTATCAAAAATGTCTTTTTATTAATTTTTTATACAGATTATTCTTTTAAAAAAATAATTTGATAAAACCCAAATATTTGTCATTGATTTTAATTTTTGGGATTATCTACTTAAGGATTTTTTAATTTCCAGTTCTTATTTTTCATTTATTTATTTTCATTTTTTTTTTCTTTTAACATATTTTGCTTTATTCTTATTTGCTGT